ACCCTGGCGAAACATGTAGGCGATCTGTAGACATCTCAGCCAAAGCTGTGACTGTTCTCAAAGGTCGAACAGCTGATTCGCACTCGTTCGGGAGGCAGACTGCCCAAAAGGTCGAAAAATTCAACATTTGTCGAAAGAGAGGAAGATCAAGATTTTTTTGCCATAAACAGTGGTCTAAGTACCAAACTTCGACGTTAGCATCGTTGACGAGAGAAAGGGACGGTTGGACCCTTCTCGCGATAAAAATATTATTCACCCCGCACCGCATGAGGAAAGTGGGGCATGAAAGGAAACAAAAAGAAAAAGCCCTGGTGTTTACCCCCTCCTGTGTGACCCTGGATGGTTGGAATTACGAAAAAAGACACTGAAAAGTGCAGTACTCTACATACGCTGAAAACTGCTGTAGTACACGTCTCACCACGAAAAATGGGGGGATTGTTGCCATAATAGAGAGGACGTAAACACACACACACTCATCCTATGTACGTTCAAGTCGTGTAACGACAAACCGCTGTGTTTACTGGATGAGCACTTACAATCATGATTGCATCTTGTGGCGTTGAACAGTTTGACTGTAGACTGCGTCGCCTCCGCTTGTCATATTTCTTGGTGCCTTCAGTTCCCGAAGGACATAAGCCTGCTGTTATCTATCGACCACGCGACGTTGATTGCCTCGCACGGACACAGCCCGTCGATGTTATCTTGAAGCTCAGACTTCCGACGCATGGTATGTTGTTTGCATGTAGGAAACATCCCACATACCATACCCGCTCCTGACCATTCTCAGAGGAAATGTATTCAAGTCTTCGTTGCACTCAGGATTGGGGTGTTTTCTGCATCGCCACAGAACCCGAAAGCTCTCAGCGCAGTTTGCGCGCTTGTTCTATCCTGCCATGGCTACAAGGAGCACATTCCATGACTCCCTTAGGCATTGGGGCCAGCAGAGCGGCAAGATTCCTCCAAGGCCATGCCCACCTCCTAGCAAAGTGTAATACATCGAGGAGATGAAATGACAGAACCTGAAACTTCCTCACGTCCAGGGCCTAACACACGTTGACGTTTCAAGCCAAGCAACACCCAACGGCAATGCTTGCCGAACACAGCAGCCAGCAACACGCACTCCTGCCGAGGGGGTAATGCGCCATGCACGATCCATCCCTTCGCAAGTCGGTCGTGTTTTCGCCACGCAGGTTTCAAAGTTTCGTCACGATACTTTCATCTTCAAGCTTCGAGCTTGCACACTAAATCTTGGATGTCCTAACCACCGGCTTGAGCAACAACATCGGACCAGCTAGTTGCTTCCTCCTTTTCAACACGCCACCATATACTTCGAAGTACAAACCTAACAGCCTGCCACTGCTGCTGCTGCACTCCATGAGGTCTCGTAAGCTACAGTACAATCCGCGAAAAAAAGCCACGCCACCCATACTCACTGATCAATGAAAGAGTCTTGACCAACGAACGCCTGAAAAACATCATACGCCAAGCTCCGAACAGCAACACATACTAATTTAGTCCACGGCAATAAAATCGACAGAAGTTGGATGACGATGTACCCGCCGCGTTACTCGTCAGTCTTGGCTGTGCTCCACACGAATCACGGTAGCCGGATCGATCCCTTCCAGCAAGAAACAATCCTGAGCGGCGTTAGCGCCAAGAAACAAAGCATGCACCAAAAATACATCAGGAAAGTGTTGTTCCATTACTCTTCGTTTCAAGACCCACATCAGAAGAGTACCGTAGACCACACAAGATATCACACACCCCGGACCGCTTCGCAACGCTTGAATACGGCCTGATTGCGATCGAAAGCCGCACTGCGGAATTGCGCAACTACCTACGATTGTATCCCGTGGTGAAAGAGACGGACAAGATTGATCCGCCCATCCTCACCTCAGCTTCTTCGCCATGAGGGTTCTTGACCCTGTCTTCCACGATGCGTTGGCTGAAGTAGACCTGGAAGGGATTTGGGGAGATGGGGAATGATATAACAGATACAGCATAAGAGACTGAGGTGCTGTGAGATAGATTAGAGAAGAGGGGCGAAGGAGCAAAGAGGGCTATACGGAGATCGAGCAGTCTCCCTCGAAGGTTTTTCTATTACTGTAAGTAAGCATGTTGGATAAAGCATGCAATAAGGGAAGTTGGGTACGAGTTAGGGATAGGGTCTGCGTACTCCCTCAGTGTTCTATTTCCTCCTAACTTAATTTCTCGCGAAGGCGGTCCAGATAGAGACAAGACAAGGGGTGATGGAGTAAAGAGAGGGATGCGGTGAAGAGTCACAAAGGAGGGAGTGGGAGAAGGGAGATAGAGAGAGAGAAAAAGAGGGGCAGCGAGAGAGGGGGGGGTAGAGAGCGGAGAGAGAGAAATGAACATGGTCAATGATCATAGCAACCTTCAAGTCGAGCAATGAATGGATCTCCCTGAAACCGGAGACTGCGAAACGCAAGGGGGCTTCCAAGACAATCACTATTCTTGCTGACCAAACACGGTGGTGTCATGGGTAATGAGAGTCACATCGTCACCGGGCCATGCTGGTGTTGCGGCATAGGTGCACCGCACCATGCAAATTGTAGCAAGGGTCAGACACAAGCGAGACGTCTCACCTCGTCTAGCACCCGCACTATGCGGCACGACCCATCCGACACTGATTCCCCAGGTGTTTGCCGGATAAAGCAAGGATGCGAAGACCGTACAAATGTCGGTGTGTCGGGGGAAGAAGACGTCCAAGCACAGGTGTAAGCAGAAATGAGTAGTACAACCTTTTCATCGCCCACGAGCACTAAATGTTGATCCATGCCCGATACGAGGAACACGGCGTAAAGAAGGTCGCCTGCTACCACCATCAATTCTACGGCCCACGCGTACTACCAAAAAAAAATCACGGCTGGCCAGCGTCACGTAGCCCTCTAGAGAACCCATGTGCACACGGCATTTTATCTTCCAGAGAGCACGGCCTCTTTCGGTGGGAAATTAATCTAGAGATTGATTTCACGCTGGCCTCGGGGCCGATGCGCCAACAAGGAAGTGGGTTTTGCGGACTTACAAGACACGGGCTGCGCCTCTTCGTCGTGGAAGAACAGGTTCGGGCCAGACTCTTTCCGGGTTAGCAGCGGTTGCAGCTGGGTCCAGAAGAAACATCGGGACACGGGGGAGGAGCGAGAGGGAGATACGGCAGCTGTTGAAGTCCGTGTCAAACTTATAGGTCCAAAGCTCTGCCGTCATTAACTCGCACACGCGTAGAGGTGGGTTGGCTTCAAGTTTGGACGGCAGCCCACACCGCGGGCAAAGCAAAGTCCAAACGTCTGTACTTGGTAGACGCTTTTGGCGGTTCTTCCAGCAGGTTGAGTGAACTGGGAGCTTCCACAACTGAACCAGCCAGTTGGCTCGCGTAGCGACCTTCCAGGCTACTCCCTCACCCTAGCAACCAAGAACACACCGCATGCTCCAGAAAAGTCCCGCTGGATCGTGCGTTTGTTCAGCAGGTATTTTGTGGGGCTTCAATTTTCAACCTCGTGCGATGTCAATAAGTCTAAGCTCTCACCTTCCCTTCTCCAATATATGACGCGAGTTCCAAGCTGCAATCGTCATCCGGCCCCCTGCGATATTCAACCACGTCAAGCTCCAACAAACCTCCCTGCTTGTTATGCACATGTAGGAAACGGTAAGAAGCATCATACATGCAAGAGCGGACGGATTTGAGGACACTGCACTCTGAACTGCTGTCAATCGTCTCCCGGGGAGACCTCTGCAGTAGACTCATCGGTGCCTTGCCGTTAATTTATACATCCATAATACGAAGTTGGCTGTGAATTAAACGTCACCACACCCTAACTCACCTAACTCTCCGCCTCCCCCCTCCTCCCCTCCCCGGGGGAGGCCGAGGCCCGCAAGTGCAGTTAACCCTCGAAAAAACCACCCAACAACGACGGATATACGGTCCCTAGCACCGTGTAGGAGAGGATCCTGAGTTTGGCGGTCGGGAGTTACCGCGGTCACGAGATCGAGGTAGGTCGTGATAAGCCAACTTGGAGACAGCTGCCGATGGGTTTGAACCCAAATGCCCCGGTTTGGACACCGGGGCAAGGCAGCGGTGGAGAGCACGGAGAGGGTGGCGGGATGATCGCACACCGTGTGGGTAAGCACCCAACAGGGGGACGGAAAGGGTCCAGAGCTGGAGAGCCACGCCGCTCCGGGACAGGAAGACACCTCGCTGGGAAAGGCAAGCACCGGGTTAACTCTTACATTAACCCGAGGATCCGCAGAGCAATAAAAATAAAGAAAATAAAAAAAGGAAGGAAGAAGAGGAGGAGGGGCCGGAAGGTGCGTAGGCTGATTAGGGATGCAGCACGCACCGCCCGGCAGAGGCGGCAGGGTCGACTTGTTAGGGTAGCAACCTACAATGTGCGTACACTGGCCGTGAACGGGGCCAACGGCTATGGGAGAGCCGACAGCGTCTTACACGAGGCAGCGAAACAGGGCATTTCGTTTGTCGGTCTGCAGGAGGTCAGGAGACCAGGGCGAACGGAGTTCGCAGCATCCGGTTTTCGGGTGTTCACCTGTGGCACGGACAAGGGTGGTACGCATGGCGTCGGAATCGCTGTGGAGGAGACGCTGTGCAAATCCTCCCAGTACACCACGGAGTACGTGGACGAGCGCCTCATGGCTATGAGGTTTGAGATGATGGGCCACCGCGGAGCGGTGACCTTCGTGGCTGCGTATGCCCCAACAGACGTGGCCACCACCGAGAGCAAACACATGTTCTGGGAAAAACTTGACAGTCTCGTGCGTCGTATCCCCGCTAAGGAGTATCTTTTCGTGCTCATGGATGCCAATGCCCAGACCGGAGGAGGGATAGCAGGGGAAAACGAAGGAACCATGGGCGAGTACGGGCGCAATGAGCTGAACGAAAATGGTGAGCTGCTGCTGACTTTCGCCACGGACAACAGATTAGCGGTCCTCAACACCTTCTTCGACACACGGAGGGGCGGGATATGGCATACGTTCAACGGCCCGTCGGGACGCGAACGTAGGTGCCTCGATTACATCCTGACGCGCCAAGCACACCGCGGCCGAGTGTCCAACATGGAGGTCGTACCTCAGCCAGTGCGCCCAGTAAGAGCGGACTCAGACCACAACATCGTAGTAGCCACCGTCGACCTCGGTGGCCGGCTGGCCCACAACCGACCTATCCGGACCAACCCCAAACGGCGGCAGTTCAACCGACAAGATCTGCAGGTCGAGGCAGCGCGATGGGCTGTATCCCAACGGTTTCTCTGCAACCTGCTCGCGAGGTCGGGCGCGCCGGCGACCACCACGCAGGAAATGGCGAAGGAGTTCACGGAGGCCCTGCTCGGCGCGGCGGAGACGGAGCTGTCTGAGGAACCCCGGAGGCGGCGCACCACGGAATGGAACATGACCACCGCGGCACGGACAGCCCTGGCGACCGCCCTTGACAAGCGACGGGCTGCGCGACATTCCTTCAAGGCCGGACCGAACGCAGCAACGTGGAGGATCCTCAAAGCAACGTGCAAGGGGGTGAAGGCAACAATCGCAACGAGCATCTACGACCACCTGGAAAGATACGTGACGGAGCTCGAAGCGATCTACCAGGACCGCGACATGCGGGGGCTGTACCAACACCTCAAGCGGTCAACGGGCCTCAGCGGGAGACAAGCTGGGGGGCAGCAGTTCGTTACAGACGAGAACGGCGTGCTACTCCGGAACAAGGATGCCATCCTCAAGCGGTGGCGGAGATTCTTCAATACCCTCCTGAACTCCAAGTCCCCCACTCTGAACCCAGACGTTGTCGAACAGGTGATGCAGCGACCAGCGACGCGCGCCACCCGACACCTGGCGGCGGTACCAGACCTCGAGGAGGTTGAGGCGGCGACGAAAGGCCTGGGGAACTGGAAGGCGGTTGGTCCCGACCTCCTTGCCGCCGAACTGCTCAAGGTCGACGGCGACGACGAGCCCATTGTCCTGGAGCGCCTCCGTGCCATCTTCGTCGAAGTGTGGAATGGGGGAGAGATGCCGCAGGAGTGGAAGGATGCCATCATTAAGGTGCTGTACAAGAAGGGTGACCGTTCGAACTGCAACAACTACAGGGGCATCTCGCTGCTCTCGCATGTAGGCAAAGTACTCGCCAAGACCATCACCAACCGCCTGAGCGCATTCTGCGAAGCCAACGAAATCCTCCCGGAGGAACAGTGCGGGTTCCGGCCTGGCCGATCCACGGTATGCATGCTGTTCGTTGTGCGCCGACTCCAGGAGCTGGGGCGGAGGAGGAGAATCCCGCTCTACATGTGCTTCATCGATCTGCAGAAGGCATATGACTCGGTGGACCGGGAGCTACTGTGGAAGGTGCTGGCCCGGGCCGGGATCCCCGGGGAGATGATCGCCGTCATCCGCAAGTTCCACGTCGGAATGCGGGCCCGGGTCCGCACGGACGATGGGGAGCTATCGGACTGGTTCCCGGTCACGCAGGGATTACGACAAGGGTGCTCAATGTCCCCACTGCTGTTCAACGTCTTCTTCGCAGCGCCTCTCGAGATCATTGTCACACGGTTCAGCCAAGATGAGGTTATCGTGCGGGACCTAGTGTACTTGAAGGAGGAGGAACGGAGGGGGGGGGGATTGCTGGACCGAGTCCGGAGGGCGGTGTGGGGGATGCTATATGCCGACGATGCCGGCGTTGTGTCGAAGTCCGCCGACGGCCTGGCGAGGATGATGACCATTATCGTGGAGGTGTTCCGGGAGTTCGGGCTGACGGTGTCGGAGAGGAAGACGGAGACCCTGGTGATGCGGGTGAAGGAGAGACAGCGACCGCCGCCGCCGCCACCGCCGGTGCTGACCATCGAAGCAGCGGGGCAAAGGTACGCACAGACGACCGAGTTCCGATACCTGGGCGGCCTCGTCAACGAGCAGGGCGACCTTACCCGAGAGATCAACCACAGGAGCAAAGCAGCGTGGGCGTGCATTAAGCGATACGCCACGGAGCTCTTCGACCGACCGGGAGCACCGTTTCGCCTCAAAGCCCGCCTGCTCCAGGCGGAGGCAGTGGAGGCACTGCTATACGGCTGCATGACATGGTCCCCACGCCGCAACCACTACGGAATGCTGCAGACGACACACCACCGGCTACTCCTGCGAGTCATCGGCTACCGGCGCAAACGAGGCACCTACCGGCAGCTGTCATACGCCCAGGCGCTAAAGAGGGTCGGCTGCCAGAGCGTGGAGGCCACTGTCCGTCAACGGCGCCTGCTCTTTGCGGGGGCCGTGGCAAGACAGCCGGACGGGCGGCTTCCGAAACGGCTGATGTTCGGCGAGTTGGTGGGAGGGGAGGACCCGGGCCAGGGAAACCCGGAGCAGAACTGGCTGACATGCCTGAAGGACGACATGAAGATGTTCGAAGCCAGGTACGGCTCCACGACCGACAAGCCGAGCGTCTTCGGAGTCCCGAAGTTAGTCTGGAGTGAGGCGGCGAAGGTGGAGGGGGGGGTACCGTGGCACGCGGGGGTGCTACAGGGAGCTGAGAGGTTCATGGCCTCTTGGCACAAGGGCAAGGAGGAGGCCAGCCGACAACGAGCCATCAAACGAGGAGACAGCGGGCCCAAAAATAGTCTAGATACGGCACCAATCAACGGGGCGGTAGGGGGGCGGAAGGAAACGGCGCGGCGGGAAGAAAGCAAGCGAGAAGAGACCGACCGCGTGACGTGACATGTTGCGGTCGAATTTCAACGACTAATTTTTCTGTTGCCCTCTCCCCCGTTTGCTGTCGCGTTCAGACTGTCTCTAGGGATATCCCTGTCTCTGTGCGAGTTTGTTTGTGTCCTCGTCTTTGCTTTATTCTGTTTTATTTTGTCTTTTGTTTTGTTTTTTACTGGCACGTACCCCCGCCCCTTCCTTTGGCCGTCGACCTGCCTCCATGTAGTGGGAGGCTACCCCCCCAGGCTGGTGGTGCGGCCGTTCCACTAGTCTAATTATTTATTTAATATTATTTTATTTGTTTCTGATTCTATTTTGTTTTCTTGTATTTTATCGCTCTGCTGACCCTTGGGGTCCATTTTATTTTGGTATACCTTTTCTAGGTACGTTAGCCTGTGACCACGGAAATTGGCCGAGTCAAGTGATGGATTAGTACGGAGAGATTGAGACAGAAGGAGGTACTGGATAGAGAGACCGGGATGGTTTTTAATGTGAAGACAACAACAACAACAACAACACCCTGGTTAAAAAGCGAATTGGTACCAACGGCACCCATTCGTTGATGTGAAGAGTCCTCGATTTCGCAGTGGATGTTGTGGTTTGTTGGTTGCGTGCGAAACAAGGGGGGGTGGTGTCTTCCGTGTGGCATGCCTTCAGTCGACGCATTATCCCGCACGTTTTGCCTTGCAAATGACCAGCTGAGCATTGCAACACATATTTTCACACCTTCCATCCATTATCTGCTGATCGTGCTGTTTCACTGTCCTCTGCTGCTAGAGCTGTTGTTGGTCGTGGTCGTCGGCGACACCTGGGCCGGAGTGATGATGATGTTGCAGTCGTGAGTCGACCTTCGACAGCAGCAGCAGCAGCAGCAGGCATTCCTGCAGCAGTGCTGGCGCTACCCGCCCGCGGTGGCCATGGAGGCGCTAAGAAAGCTTGCGACAACTTTAGTGGAAGTACGCAAAGGATTGTGACACACACCGCGGGCGTTGACCTCATCATGCGAGCGAGGGTGGGCTGGCTATTATTGGGATCACGATGATCACATTGCATTTTCTTTGAGCCCGAAGCAGGGGGGATACATCGCGAATAACAACGTGGGGGGCTCACGACCGCAGAGCATCTTTCGCGTGCCCCCTAAGCCAAGGCATCGTCGCCGCACAGTGTTATTGGGTTTAGTTTTTTTTTTTTTTTTT